AACCCCCAACCCTCCCCCGTTCCTTGTCCCTTGACTGCCCCCTCCAGAACCTCCCTGCCCCTTCTCCTGCTCCCTGGCCCCCTTACCCTGCTGCTCAGAACAGGGTGTTGGGCTCTGTGCGAGCCGAGCCGGACACGTGGCTGCGCTCCCCAGCGCAACACACAACCCGGTCCCTGGCCCTGCACAGTGCTGCCGGAGCGGGCTGCAGGGGAGAGCTGCCGGCTCAGAATGCAGGGCGGATCCGGCTCCTCTACAGCTGCTCCGGAGTCCAGCCCGGGACTTTCCTGCAGCCCTCCCAGCCGCTCGCTCTGCTCTGCCGGGGGAGGGGGGAAATCCCGGACATTTTGAGTGCTTTACAAATTCCCCCCGGACGCTATTTTTAGCACAAAAAGGAGGACATGTCCGGGTAAATCCGGACGAATGGTAACCCTAGTTTCCAAGAACAATGCTTATATAGAAGCATAAAAACAGCACAAAACACATTTTCTGCAGCTTCTGATTCTGGGAGAGGCCCAAGAGGACAAATTCAGTCACACTGCTTATATTCGCCATGTGCTCTGGTTAAGTGGTGGCTGAGTGATATGGAGCTAATTTACCTGCCAAAATAAAGGAATTATATCATTAATGCACATATATTGACCAATTATTACATTAATGTCAAGCTTATCTACCCAGAGGTAGATATTGACCAAGGTGAAGGTAAGATCAAGATTATCTAAACAAGCAATCAATTTTTCTTTCCACTAAAATCAAGCTGTTCAGTTTTCACCAATGTCAGTAGGATTCTGACCAGACTGATGTGTCAAGGTGCTTGGATGGAGTGGGGGCAGGGGGAAGTCGTTAGAGTTCGATGAGGCCCACTCACCCTAAAAATCACTGCTTCACCCCTGAGTGGCTGAATGGTCATTTTAATAGAACTCAGGTTTTTCTGATTTTCACCCAAATCAAGTGAATAGTATCCGTTCATGCCTAGACCATTCCCTGAAATTTTGTAATTAATTGGATGTGATTTTCAGAGCTTATTGCTTTACAGAACAACAAAGTTTATTGAGTCATGTCTAGGGCCACTCTTTGCTCAGTCAACTGTTTAACAATGTATTATTTTACTATGGTACTATGGGAGCCAAGTATCTGAACACCTCACAATTTTTAAGTTGCTTATTCTCACAACACCCCCAGGAGGTAGGGAAGTTATATCAACTTCCTTTTAGAAGATAGGGCCTGAAGCACAGAGACTTAGGGCTTGTCTCCACAGTGGGGTAATGAGCACATACAGGAGTGTGATTTTTAAAGAGCACTAATGTCTTACCCATTAGTTGGTCCATGTAGCAGCTGATTGTGTGCAATAACAGTTCCCTAGTGTACTTTCGCATATTGATTTGTTTAAGATCACACAGCGTATCTGTGATAGAGCACAAAACCAAACCCAACTTTTCTGGGTCACCAGCAAGTGGTCTAGCTACTGGGCCATCCTTCCGCATTGACGTAGCTTCAAGATCTGCCCCTCTAATTTTTGTAGGAGAGTTAATAAAAGTAACCTATGAGTTCAAACATCTCATGCATGGGTCCAGTATTCAGTAAAATCAGTGGAAAGACTCCCATTGATTTCAATGGGCTTTGGAGCAGGAAATCAAGTTCTCTATGACAATGTTTGGAGGGTAGTTTAGACTATATGAACAAGAAATAACAGAGGCCAAATCATCCACACACACCCCAAGATTGATGGGTGAAGCATCCCACCCTTCCCTTATAGAAGAAGGTGTTAAGCTGTCTTTGCTGCATTGTTTCCCTTTCTCTGCATACTTCAAGGGCTGGAATTCACGTAAGGGGAGGGGATAAGGAGTGGGTAGGCCTACGTAGATAGAGTGAGGGATACAGATCATCCCCTCTTGGCTCAGCAGAGATTAGGTAGAAAGATTTATACAGGCTGGGGCTATGCTACCTGTTCTGCTGCCCCCATGCATTATAGAGAGGCCCCATTGAGGGATGCCCAGGGTCAGCCCTGGCCAGGGAGTGCATGTTTCCATGTGCACTTAATGTGAAATACAAGAGTGCTTGGATTTGGGATGCACTTATTAGCATTTTTACATAATGTAATTTCTCACCTTGACAACTGACCCTAGTACAGAATTCCAAAGAGAGGGCCAGAGCCCCAGCTGGTGTCAATCAGCTTTGCTACATGGAAGTCAATGGGGCAGAGCAATAGAGTTCCATAGAAAACAATGGGCCTGACTTCCAGCTGGTAGAAATTGGCATTCCATTGACATCAAACTAGCTCCTTTGATTTACACCAGCTTTGGTTCTGGCCCATACTTTTTTGGCCTTGTGTTCCAAAATATTTTAAAATCTTCCAAGCCATAGGAAATATTCAACATATCCTTGAGGAAGAGCACCCCTCTGTTATTATGGATTCATTTATTTATTTATTTATTGCCTTCCCCACTCTATAGCTAGCAGTAGGCCTGCCTCCATCTAACAAACAAGTTAGTATAAAGAAATGACCATTGAGCCATTCATACTGCATGCACCAGTTCAATGTACTGAATCTGACCATTTGTGCATGCAAAAGAAAATCAGATAATTGCATGTACACATTGGTACTGATCTATGCAATCACTGCATCTGCACATAGGCTTGGATAGCTCATCATTACATGGGGCTTTGAAAAATGTCATTGTTAAATGAATATTTCCTAATTTAAAATAATTAATGTCCAGCAGGAAGTGAACTGAGACCACCAATGCCTTTCATACAGACAAGTGAACAGACATTTGGGGAGGGTGAAGTCAGCCATCTTACTCAAATCACTGTAGTTTTGGAAATAGCGTGTGGTTGGAGCAAGAAAACTGATGAAACGAAGATTCTGTTTTCAAGAACACACCTTCTTATTAGTAACAGCAGGGGATTGAAACACAGGAAATAGAGGAGAGAAGGCGTTTTTTTTAAAGTGGGATTCTTTCAGAATGCCATGAGGGATCAGTGCTTCTTTCAAAATAATTGTTATGATCAGTGATGTACATGCTCGTTTCATTTCTGTTGCCATGCTCTAACTACAGCCTGCTTCTTATTACTTAATGCCTTTTGTTCAGGCCAGCATCCAGGGTGTCCTAGACATCAAAGAGCAAAATCCAGACCTTTCTTTGAGAAAGTGATCCCATCAGAGACACTTCCATCCTGATAAAGCTAATGCATCAATGAACAAGTTAAAGGGACAGCATCAAATTGATATGTAATCCACTAACAAACAAGTTCAATATAGACATAGACCCTGCCCCTGTGTTCCCAGCCATATGGGGAGGGGGGTATGATCATTTTTGTCTTTTTTTTTAAATGTTTTTCTCACCCCGCTTGCTGTGTGAAGAGACCCACACAGAAACATTGAGAGAAACTGACTAAGACCTTGTTTTCATTGGAAAGATTTAACAGTTATAAAGATATAGATATAACCCACCCCACCCCCAGAGTGGACACTCCTAGTCCTTGTCTACATGCAAAAACTTGTGATGCTTTCACTATCCCAGTATAAAGTAGTACAATCCCCAGCATGGATTCAGTTATACCAGTACAAGAGTGGCTATATCACTATGGGTATGTCTACACTACAAAATTAGTTCGAATTTATAGAAGCCGGTTTTATTGAAATCGGTTGTATACAGCCGATTGTGTGTGTCCACACAATAAAATGCTCTAGGTGCTCTAGTCGGCGGACTGCGTCCACAGTACGAGGCTAGCGTCGACTTCCGGAGCATTGCACTATGGGTAGCTATCCCACAGCTATCCCACAGTTCCCGCAGTCTCCGCCGCCCCTTGGAATTCTGGGTTGAGATCCCAATGCCTGGATGATGCAAAACAGTGTCGCGGGCGGTTCTGGGTACATGTCGTCAGGCCCCTCCCTCCCCCGTCACAGCAACGGCAGACAATAGATTCGCACCTTTTTACCTGGGTTACCTGGGTTACCTGTGCAGACAACATGGAGCCCGCTGAGCTCACCGTCACCATATGTCCTCTGGGTGCCGGCAGACGTGGGACTGCAGGTGGGGACGGGGGGGGGGAGGGAGTAGCTCAGTGGTTTGAGCATTGGCCTGCTAAACCCAGGGTTGTGAGTTCAATCCTTGAGGGGGCCACTTAGGGATCTGGG